GGGGATATATTAGGCAACAAATTAACATTTTGTCCCTGAAGTTGATGTGTTGGAAGCAGAAAAAATGGACAAGTGAAAGGATTTGAGGGACTTTGACAAGGACCAAATTGGGATGTCTAGACGACTGGGTCACAGCAACTCCAAAACTGCAGCTCTTGTGGGATGTTCTCGGTCTGCAGTGGTCAGGACCGACCAAAAGTGGTCCAAGGAAGGAAAACAGGAGAACAGGCGACAGTGTTATGGGTGGCCACGGCTCATTGATGTACGTGGGGAGTGAAGGTTGGCCCGTGTAGTCTGATCCAATAGAGGAGCTACTGTAGATCAAATTGCTGATAAAGTGAATGCTGGTTCTGATAGAAAGTTGTCTGAACACACAGAGCATCGCAGTTTGTTGTGTATGGGGCTGTGTAGCTGCAGACCGGTCAGGGGGCCCATGCTGACCCATGTCCACTGCCAAAAGTACCTACAATGGGCACATGAGCATCAGAACTAGACCACTGAGCAATGGCAGAAGTTGGCCTGGTCTGATGAATCACGTTTTCTTTTACATCATGTGGATGGCCGGTGTGTGTCACTGACCTGGGGAAGAGATGGTACCAGGATGCACTATGGGAAGAAGACAAGCCGGCGGAGGCAGTGTGATGCTTTGGGCAATGTTCTGCTGGGACACCTCGGGTCCCGCCATTCATATGGGTGCTACTTTGACACGTACCACTGACCTAAACATTGTTACTGACCAAGTATCCCCTTTCATGGAGATGGCATTCCCTGATGGCAGTGACCTCTTCCAGCAGGATAATGTTCCCTGCCACACTGCAAAAATGGTTGAAGAATGGTTCGAGGAACACAACAATGAGTCTGAGGTGTTGACTCGGCCTCCAAATTCTCCAGATTTCAATCCAAATCGATCATCTGAGGGATGTGCTGGAAAAAAGTCCGATCCACGGAGGCCGATCACCTCACAATTTACAGGACTTAAAGGTTCTCCTACCTATGGCTTGGTGCCAGATACCACAGCACACCTTCACAGGTCTAGTGGAGTCCATGCCTGGAGGTGTCAATGTTGTGCCTGATCGGTGCTAATATATTTGAAATTAAATTTGGATCATGGTAAACCTAAACTATGATTGTCAAAATCCTTCTGAAAATATGATCCAGGCCTACTCACTCTTCAGTACACCATGTCTTTCCAGCAACAGTCTATTGCCAAACACAGACCCATAGGAAAGTCCACTGATAAAACGTCAATCTGATTGCTGTCGCTTGGCAGGATTTGCTCTAATCACTTCATTGCTCTAAGCGCTGTGTTATTTTATGGCTTGCATGGAGTTTCGCTCTATAGTTTATAGCATGCGTCTGACACAAAACAAACAGACAGCCGTTATATATGTAGAGCGACTGAAAAGAGGTCTCTTCCGGGTATAAGAGGAAGACTGAAGCAGCTCTGGTGATTGAGCTGTGAGGTGTCTTGCCCATCTGCCTCTGTCAGCGTCCAATAGGATACTGCAGGACAGAGTGACATCAGGTAGGTAATGCATGATGTTACCCTGTTTAGTGCCGGGACCTGGACTCGGTACAGGAATATTACCTGCACTGACCTATTGGTGGTCCTATATGAAAAAAACTGTTCTGTTAAATACATTTTTCCTCATTTCCTCTCCCGGTGACACCCATACAAGAAATGGGGGGCTCAGTTGTCAATGGGATAGGAAGTCACAAGCTGCAATTAAAACATTGTCAGACATTCTAAACCTTCCTGTCTTTTCTGTTTGAGTAAATTCCCAATAGGTTCTGTCTTCACAGCATATAAGCGAACATGTTGAAGGCCAACATCTGAATGGAGGCTCCCACACTATTCTGGATGCTGATAGCCTTGTATATGCCCTTCACCTGGTTAACATACATCTAAATGGAAGCTCCCTCACTACTCTGGGTGCCGATAACCAGGCGTAGGACATGTTCAAGGCCAACATCCATCTGATTGGAGGCTCCCTCACTACTCTGGATGCAGATAACCAGGCGTAGGACATGTTGAATGCCAACAGTTATCTGAATGGAGGCTCCCACACTATTCTGGATGCTGATAGCCTTGTATATGCCCTTCACATGGTTAACATCCATCTAAATTAAATGGAGGCTCCCTCGCTACACTGGATGCCAATAACAATGTGTAGGACATGTTGAACAACCCCTGATCACTTTCTTCATTGTGCATATCTCTGAAGAAGAGGGTTTGCGCTCAAAACGTGTCAGGAATGCACAACTAAGGCAGCAACCAGGTGTTACTAAGTGGGTCCTACACCCAGTAATTGGCATCCAGGATGGTGAGGGAGCCTCCATTCAGATGGATGTTGGCCTTAATGTGTTTTTCACCAGGTTATTGGCATCTAGAGTAGTGAGGGAGCCTACATTTCAGATGGATGCTAGCCTTGAACATGTCATACTCCAGGTTATTGGCATCCAGATTAGCGAGGGAGCCTACATTCAGATGGATGCTAGCCTTGAACATGTCATACTCCAGGTTATTGGCATCCAGATTAGCGAGGGAGCCTACATTCAGATGGATGCTAGCCTTGAACATGTCATACTCCAGGTTATTGGCATCCAGATTAGCGAGGGAGCCTACATTCAGATGGATGCTAGCCTTGAACGTGTCTTACACCTGGTTTTTGGCATCCAGAGTAGTGAGGGAGCCTCCATTCAGATGGCTATTATGATTTATATGCTCTATTTCCAAGCACATTTTTGAGTATAGGAGATATAGTTTTATCGAACACAATGCACTAGGCCGGATCGCTGCATTTTAATCATATGTTCATGAAATCCTCAACCTAAACCCACCCTCCCTCTAACCAACCCCCTACACCAAACCACTGACCTAGATTGTGCACAACCCCTCAGGGCCAGAGACCCAGCCATACAAAGAGAGGGCCAGAGACTGAACCATACACAGAGAGAGGGCCAGAGACCGAGCCACACAGGGAGAGAACCAGAGACTGAGCCACACAGAGAGAGGGCCAGAGACCGAACCATACAGAGAGAGGGCCAGAGACCGAACCATACAAAGAGAGGGCCAGAGACCCAGCCATACAGAGAGAGGGCCAGAGACCCAGCCATACAGAGAGAGGGCCAGAGACCAAGCCATACAGAGAGAGGGCCAGAGACCGAACCATACAGAGAGAGGGCCAGAGACCGAACCATACAAAGAGAGGGCCAGAGACCCAGCCATACAGAGAGAGGGCCAGAGACCCAGCCATACAGAGAGAGGGCCAGAGACCGAGCCATACAGAGAGAGGGCCAGAGACCGAGCCATACAGAGAGAGGGCCAGAGACCGAGCCATACAAAGAGAGAGGGCCAGAGACCCAGCCATACAAAGAGAGGGCCAGAGACCGAGCCATACAAAGAGAGAGGGCCAGAGACCCAGCCATACAGAGAGAGGGCCAGAGACCCAGCCATACAAAGAGAGGGCCAGAGACTCAGCCATAGAAAGAGAGGGCGAGAGAGCCAGCCATACAAAGAGAGGGCCAGAGACCCAGCCATACACAGAGAGAGGGCCAGAGACTGAGCCACGCAGAGAGAGGCCCAGGGACCGAGCCACGCAGAGAGAGGCCCAGGGACCGAGCCACGCAGAGAGAGGGCCAGAGATGTAGAGTTCCCCCAGTGAAGTGAAGGAAAAAGCCTTGATTTAACCCAAAGTTGATCTGTTCGGAGCTTACACATGACTATGGACTCTCCCCACCCCAATGTGTCAGCTTGACAAAGCTCTGTGGTGGACAGGAACATATTTAATCATTGTGGCATTGACCCCAACATCACTTTTGGGTGGACTGACCCTTTAAGCAGCTGAATTCAGTGTGCCATGCCTGGGTGAAGGTAAATGTGGCAGTGCGTATAGCGCCCACATATACAATAGAGATCTATCTTCTCTACAATGACCCAGGTCAAGCTCACCCAGTTCAGATCCTGTCACCGTGTGCATGTTAAAGGAGAACTATGGGGTCAGTGTTTTTCCCCATAGTTCTCCTTAGGGTAACGGGAGGACACAAACTAGCGTTCTCCCGTCACCCTAGGCTCAGTATATAGGGAGCTACAGCTCGCAGTATACCGAGACCCCGCAGCCGGAGCGGATCCCATTGTCACGGCAGAGAGCAGTGACAGGATCGAGAGGTGAGCGAACGCCGGTATGTGTTCCCTCGCTTCCCGATCTACTGAGCCGACCTGTAACAGTCTCATTGTCACAGGTCGGCTAGAACTATAAGGTGAGTGGAAATCACTCATCTCATAGTTCTACTTTAAGTGACCGTTTCCAGGCTCATGTTAATGGAATAACAGTCGTGTGCCCTGGTTTGTTTTTGAAACGCAGGTTTTCCTTTGCCGGGAAGCATGAAGCGTGAAGCGTATCTTTTGGGCCGACATCCAGGACCTCTTCTGTGCTTTGCAACAAAAGTGTTGAGGAGGTCACCGGGTCACATTGTGTAAAAATGTCCTTCATTATAGGAGATGGCGGCCAAATTCTCCAAAGACAGTTTGTTATATCGTCACCGCGCAGCAACAGAACACAAAAACACAAAACATCTCCCATCCTGCGTACATTACACACCGAGTGGCCAGATTATTATGACCCCCCCATCAGTACTTCGTTGGGACACCACAATTCACTTTATGGACGTTCAGTTTATGAGAAACAAACATTTGGGTAATATAAGAATAAGCGATTATCCTTCACACCCAATATAAATACACTCGTCTGTGTGCTACAATCATCTGGACACGTTCTGCTTCACAAATGACAACACAACTCCCTGTGTATACAATGTCAGAGAGGAATACATGGTCACACCACCGCACGCCGATGATGAGCCGATTACACAGCAAAGAGACTTTACAAATGAAATGAAATGTCCGTGTACAATGTATCTGCTGGAGACGGAGATCACATCTCTCCAAATGGAGGGCAAACATTTCAAGGATAACCATTAATTACCCTCTCAATGTCATCATTATATGACAGAGGAATGATGTCACGGTCCGCCAAATTTACCTTAGAGGGGTGACATCACAACTCACCATATATACCTTGGAGGAGTGACACCGCTACTCACCATATATACCTTGGAGGAGTGACATCACTACTCACCACATATACCTTGGAGGAGTGACACCGCTACTCACCATATATACCTTGGAGGAGTGACATCACTACTCACCATATATACCTTGGAGGAGTGACATCACTACTCACCATATATACCTTGGAGGAGTGACATCACTACTCTGCATATATACCTTGGAGGAGTGACATCACTACTCTCCCTCTGAATGTCAGTGATAACCGAGTACCGGTGATACCTGGGTGTTGGTGGTACCAGAGTATAATGATGTTGGTGTTACTTGGGTGTCAGGGGTACATGGGTGTTTGAGGTAGTCCTGGAGTGTTGCTGGTACCCGAGAAGTCCCTGTGTGCCAGTACGTGAGTGTTGAAAGTAGTCCCTAGGTATCAAGAAGTAGTCCCTTGGTGTGGGAGGTGCCAGAGTGTCAGATGTAGTATGTAGGTATCAGAGGTAGTCTCTGAGTGTCAGTGGTACCTTGGGTGATGGAGGTAGTCCCTGGGTAATGTTGTTACCTGGGTGTTGGTGGTAAGGTTCCTGGGTATCGGAGGTTGTCCCTGAGTGTCGGTGGTCCCGAGTGTCTGGGCTACATGGGTATCAGAGGTAGCCCCTCAGTGTCGGTGGTACCTGGGTATCAGAGGTAGTCCCTCAGTGTCGGAGGTGCCTGGGTAACAGAGGTGGTCCCTCAGTGTCGGAAGTACCTGGGTATCAGAGGTGGTCCCTCAGTGTCGGAAGTACCTGGGTATCAGAGGTGGTCCCTCAGTGTCGGAGGTACCTGGGTATCAGAGGTGGTCCCTCAGTGTCGGAGGTACCTGGGTATCAGAGGTGGTCCCTCAGTGTCGGAGGTACCTGGGTATCAGAGGTGGTCCCTCAGTGTCGGAGGTACCTGGGTATCAGAGGTAGTCCCTCAGTGTCAGAAGTACCTGGGTATCAGAGGTGGTCCCTCAGTGTCGGAGGTACCTGGGTATCAGAGGTGGTCCCTCAGTGTCAGAAGTACCTGGGTATCAGAGGTGGTCCCTCAGTGTCGGAGGTACCTGGGTATCAGAGGTGGTCCCTCAGTGTCGGAAGTACCTGGGTATCAGAGGTGGTCCCTCAGTGTCGGAAGTACCTGGGTATCAGAGGTGGTCCCTCAGTGTCGGAAGTACCTGGGTATCAGAGGTGGTCCCTCAGTGTCGGAGGTACCTGGGTATCAGAGGTGGTCCCTCAGTGTCGGAAGTACCTGGGTATCAGAGGTGGTCCCTCAGTGTCGGAAGTACCTGGGTATCAGAGGTGGTCCCTCAGTGTCGGAAGTACCTGGGTATCAGAGGTGGTCCCTCAGTGTCGGAGGTACCTGGGTATCAGAGGTGGTCCCTCAGTGTCGGAGGTACCTGGGTATCAGAGGTGGTCCCTCAGTGTCGGAGGTACCTGGGTATCAGAGGTGGTCCCTCAGTGTCGGAAGTACCTGGGTATCAGAGGTGGTCCCTCAGTGTCGGAGGTACCTGGGTATCAGAGGTGGTCCCTCAGTGTCGGAGGTACCTGGGTATCAGAGGTGGTCCCTCAGTGTCGGAGGTACCTGGGTATCAGAGGTGGTCCCTCAGTGTCAGAAGTACCTGGGTATCAGAGGTGGTCCCTCAGTGTCGGAGGTACCTGGGTATCAGAGGTGGTCCCTCAGTGTCGGAAGTACCTGGGTATCAGAGGTGGTCCCTCAGTGTCGGAGGTACCTGGGTATCAGAGGTGGTCCCTCAGTGTCGGAGGTACCTGGGTATCAGAGGTGGTCCCTCAGTGTCGGAAGTACCTGGGTATCAGAGGTGGTCCCTCAGTGTCGGAGGTACCTGGGTATCAGAGGTGGTCCCTCAGTGTCGGAAGTACCTGGGTATCAGAGGTGGTCCCTCAGTGTCGGAGGTACCTGGGTATCAGAGGTGGTCCCTCAGTGTCAGAAGTACCTGGGTATCAGAGGTGGTCCCTCAGTGTCGGAGGTACCTGGGTATCAGAGGTGGTCCCTCAGTGTCGGAAGTACCTGGGTATCAGAGGTGGTCCCTCAGTGTCGGAAGTACCTGGGTATCAGAGGTGGTCCCTCAGTGTCGGAGGTACCTGGGTATCAGAGGTGGTCCCTCAGTGTCGGAAGTACCTGGGTATCAGAGGTGGTCCCTCAGTGTCGGAGGTACCTGGGTATCAGAGGTGGTCCCTCAGTGTCGGAAGTACCTGGGTATCAGAGGTGGTCCCTCAGTGTCGGAGGTACCTGGGTATCAGAGGTGGTCCCTCAGTGTCGGAAGTACCTGGGTATCAGAGGTGGTCCCTCAGTGTCGGAGGTACCTGGGTATCAGAGGTGGTCCCTCAGTGTCGGAAGTACCTGGGTATCAGAGGTGGTCCCTCAGTGTCGGAGGTACCTGGGTATCAGAGGTGGTCCCTCAGTGTCGGAGGTACCTGGGTATCAGAGGTGGTCCCTCAGTGTCGGAGGTACCTGGGTATCAGAGGTGGTCCCTCAGTGTCAGAAGTACCTGGGTATCAGAGGTGGTCCCTCAGTGTCGGAGGTACCTGGGTATCAGAGGTGGTCCCTCAGTGTCGGAAGTACCTGGGTATCAGAGGTGGTCCCTCAGTGTCGGAGGTACCTGGGTATCAGAGGTGGTCCCTCAGTGTCGGAGGTACCTGGGTATCAGAGGTGGTCCCTCAGTGTCGGAAGTACCTGGGTATCAGAGGTGGTCCCTCAGTGTCGGAGGTACCTGGGTATCAGAGGTGGTCCCTCAGTGTCAGAAGTACCTGGGTATCAGAGGTGGTCCCTCAGTGTCGGAGGTACCTGGGTATCAGAGGTGGTCCCTCAGTGTCGGAAGTACCTGGGTATCAGAGGTGGTCCCTCAGTGTCGGAGGTACCTGGGTATCAGAGGTGGTCCCTCAGTGTCGGAAGTACCTGGGTATCAGAGGTGGTCCCTCAGTGTCGGAGGTACCTGGGTATCAGAGGTGGTCCCTCAGTGTCGGAAGTACCTGGGTATCAGAGGTGGTCCCTCAGTGTCGGAGGTACCTGGGTATCAGAGGTGGTCCCTCAGTGTCGGAAGTACCTGGGTATCAGAGGTGGTCCCTCAGTGTCGGAGGTACCTGGGTATCAGAGGTGGTCCCTCAGTGTCGGAAGTACCTGGGTATCAGAGGTGGTCCCTCAGTGTCGGAGGTACCTGGGTATCAGAGGTGGTCCCTCAGTGTCGGAAGTACCTGGGTATCAGAGGTGGTCCCTCAGTGTCGGAAGTACCTGGGTATCAGAGGTGGTCCCTCAGTGTCGGAAGTACCTGGGTATCAGAGGTGGTCCCTCAGTGTCGGAAGTACCTGGGTATCAGAGGTGGTCCCTCAGTGTCGGAAGTACCTGGGTATCAGAGGTGGTCCCTCAGTGTCGGAGGTACCTGGGTATCAGAGGTGGTCCCTCAGTGTCGGAAGTACCTGGGTATCAGAGGTGGTCCCTCAGTGTCGGAAGTACCTGGGTATCAGAGGTGGTCCCTCAGTGTCGGAAGTACCTGGGTATCAGAGGTGGTCCCTCAGTGTCAGAGGTACCTGGGTATCAGAGGTGGTCCCTCAGTGTCGGAAGTACCTGGGTATCAGAGGTGGTCCCTCAGTGTCGGAAGTACCTGGGTATCAGAGGTGGTCCCTCAGTGTCGGAAGTACCTGGGTATCAGAGGTGGTCCCTCAGTGTCAGAAGTACCTGGGTATCAGAGGTGGTCCCTCAGTGTCGGAAGTACCTGGGTATCAGAGGTGGTCCCTCAGTGTCAGAAGTACCTGGGTATCAGAGGTGGTCCCTCAGTGTCGGAGGTACCTGGGTATCAGAGGTGGTCCCTCAGTGTCAGAAGTACCTGGGTATCAGAGGTGGTCCCTCAGTGTCGGAAGTACCTGGGTATCAGAGGTGGTCCCTCAGTGTCGGAAGTACCTGGGTATCAGAGGTGGTCCCTCAGTGTCGGAGGTACCTGGGTATCAGAGGTGGTCCCTCAGTGTCGGAGGTACCTGGGTATCAGAGGTGGTCCCTCAGTGTCAGAAGTACCTGGGTATCAGAGGTGGTCCCTCAGTGTCGGAGGTACCTGGGTATCAGAGGTGGTCCCTCAGTGTCGGAGGTACCTGGGTATCAGAGGTGGTCCCTCAGTGTCGGAGGTACCTGGGTATCAGAGGTGGTCCCTCAGTGTCAGAAGTACCTGGGTATCAGAGGTGGTCCCTCAGTGTCGGAGGTACCTGGGTATCAGAGGTGGTCCCTCAGTGTCGGAGGTACCTGGGTATCAGAGGTGGTCCCTCAGTGTCGGAGGTGCCTGGGTATCAGAGGTGGTCCCTCAGTGTCGGCTCCCTCAGTCCGGTGCCGATCTCTGGGGCCGGTGCTGGCAGTCCTGTGTTTTATAGCTCAGGTAATCTCATCAACCTGCAGGCAGCCAGGAGGATGGCAGATCAGAGGTCATTGTCAGTAATAATTAAGCTGTAATCAGAAGGCAAGCCGGCTCCTCTGACACTCCGCCTGGATTAACATCTAACATTGTGTCACCCTGCAGGCCGGCCCAGTCTCTGCCCCAACAATGGCCGCCTGGCAGACCACACAAAGTCTCCTTGTTCTGCAGAACCTACACACAGCGCTGGCAGGCCGAGCAGCCCAGAGACTCTTCTAGAAGGAGAAAAGATTTCGTCTGCACTTGTTTCCCGGAGGAATGAGAGACGTCCGGTACAAATTCTGAACGGGTCCGTTGTCGGACTTCCCACTCGGCCCATTATCAGTCCTGACTTCCCACACGGCCCATTATCAGTCCTGACTTCCAACACGGCCCATTATCAGTCCTGAACTTCAGATGTAAACACAAAATACATGCAAATACCTCTGCAGAGCCCCTGGCAGGCTTGTATTGCCATCTGTGACCACACTGGGGAGATTTGCCTCCACTTCCTGCCCCGATGAAAGCCACATCCCTCATTTATTTATACTGGTGTCACCGGGACAGGAAGTGACAGGGGAATCTCCCCTACGGACTTTGCCCCATAGACTTTCATTGAGTTCGAACCGAACATGGGGGGTGTTCGGCCCATCACTATTCATAATATAGAGGGGTCATGGTTCTGTAGTCCTCAGAGAACAATGCAGGCAGCACAGGCAGAGAGCACAGGAAGTCATCAGCTCACAAGAGTTCTGGCAGGATCAATAAACTTTTTTTTTATTTTTTTGATCAAACAGAAATACCAAAACCCCTCCAATGGCATATTTAAAGTGCATGTAAACCCAGAGCCTGCCAATGGATCGCGGCTCTTTACACAGCTTCCTTTAACCATTGTAATAGAAGAAATGTCACAAGAATGGCAGAAAATACCAGTTATTCAAAGTTTTATTAGCAGTCACGTGACTGATCTCTGTCCTTCCTTCTCTGAGCACGCAGTGGGCGGAGCCTAGTACAGACAAATCAGCTTTACAGGATAAATGACTGGAGGAGCCACTGTCAATCAAGTGCCCCGATCCTCGGCCACAAACGCGGCTTACAGATCTGAAGTATGCGCAACGCGGTGGCAACCCTGCGGAGGTGTGATGAGCCTGCAGATCGGTACCGTCCCACACAGCAGGCGCTGGCAGGATCGACAGCGATTTTCAC